CTTTTTTCTTTTTGCTTATATGGTGCTGAGGAATCGAACCCAGGGCCTCAGGCATGCAAGGCAAGTGCTCTACCACTGAGCCACCTTCCCAGCCCAGTCCTTGAAACTCTTATCTCCAATAAACCACTGGAAAAACTGGAAGTGGTGCTGTGGCTCAAGTGGTAGAGCACTAGTCTTGAGCTGAAATGCTGAGGGACAGTACTCAGGCCCAGAGTTCAAGCCCCACAACCAACTAAAAAAGCTTGCCTGATTAACTCAGGGACATGAGGGTTTGGCATGCTGGTATGGTGAAGGTCACCTACCGTGGCTGGTTAGCTTTAGGCTTCAGAAACACACTTCTAAGAGTACTCTGAAAGGCATAGTGACTTCATAAAAGAAAATGTACTTGGCAGAAAACAGAAGGAATGACCACTGTCAATTTTCTTATCTCAGAGTGCCAAGTACATCATTATGCTGGGAGAATAAAGGAAGTGGTTATTTGTACATTATGCAAGCTGATTCCAAGTGCACTTTGTTCTTCCAAAAACCTGGAGGTTAGAAACAAAAACATTTGTACCAGAAATGCTGCTGCTCCTTAATCCCAAAGCCTCTTATTTTTTAATCTCCTCATTCCTTTTTAGAAACATACCAACATTGAAAGTACTGTAATAGCTCTCAATTATATCCAGTGAAATAATAACAAGACAAGGTAATTTTGTGAGTAGCAAGACCCAAAGCATTCCATTAAAGTCAGAAGATGTTGAACTGTCATCACAGCTATTTAAGTCAAATACTAGCCATTATTATGGGCCAGAAAACGTTGATAAATAGAATAATCTTTTTTTGTACTATAGAAGGCCTATTCCTCTTGGAATGTAAATGGCTGAGCTGTTTCTAAATGTTTCTATATACACATCAGTTTTAGAGTTGTATAGATATCTGATACTTGGAGGCATTGGACAAGAAAGAGAAATGCTGTTGAATAAATAGTCTCCCACTTAAGGTACATGAACTTTTGATCCCCATGTTAATTTTTGTTACTTAAGTTTTGTATTACTGTAACAAATGACATAAGGTGGGCACTTTATCAAATGAAGAGGTTTATTTGACTTACAATTCTAGTGGCTATAAGGTCAAAATGGCATGATCCATTGTTATAACAAAAGCCCCCTGGCATGGAGTAGAAATAAAAATGGAAATGGTCACATTATAAGGGGGTCACATACATGGAGTTTCCTTGCTTTGTAATAGTCTGCTTGTAAGAACTAGAGTTAGCCAGGCACTGGTGGCCCATGCCCATCTGAGGGTTGTGATTCACAGCCAGTAGTAAACTTGTGAGACTCTTATCTCCAATTAACCAGCAAAAAGCTTGAAGTGGAGCTGTGGTTCAAGTGATAGAGTGGTGGGATCCATGAGCTTGAAAAAGGTTAGAGAACAGTGCCCAGGCCCCGACTTTAAACCCTAGTACTGGCAAGGAAGAAGGAAGGAAGGAAGAAAGGAAGGAAGGAACGAAAGGAGAAAGGAAGGAAGGAAGGGGGAGGGCGGGAGGAAGGAAATGGAGAGGAAGAAAGAAAGGAAGAAGGAGGGAAGGAAGGAAGGAAAAGAAAGAAAAGGAAAGAAATGGAGATTGAAGAAAGAAAAGAAAGAGGAAGGAAGGTAGGAAAAGAGGAAAGAAATGGAGAAAGTGAGGGAAAGGAAGGGAGAAAGGAAGAAAGAGAGAAAGAAGGAAGGAAAAGAAAAAAGAATGAAATGGAGAAAGGAAGGAAGGGGAAGAAAGAGAAAGAAAGGAAAAAAGAGAAGAACAAGCTAACCAGCATTTCACAAGAAAGACATTATTGGAAGTAGAGCCTGTGGCTCAAGTGGAGAGTGCTAGCCTGGAGTACAAAAGCTCAAGGACAGTGCCCAGGCCCAGAGTTCAAGCCCCAGGACTAGCACAAAAAAAAGAAGAAAAGAAAGAAAAAGAAAAAAGAACCACATAATTCCCTTCTGAGGGCAAAACCTTCAATAACCTAATTACCTTCCACTAGGAGCACATTTAAACCATACCCAAGCCATAGCAATCATCTTTACTTTTCAATCTTTCAGATTATCCAGAAGTCTCCTCTTCGCTGGCTGTGGAAACAGAAACGTAGCAGTTTTCATGTTTCCTGTGTCTCTCAGACAGGTCAGTATTCTGAAGGTTTGTTAAGTGCCATCTAGACTGTTAAGAAGAAGCTTTGAGGGAGCAGAACTGGAAAAGAATTAAATCTTCATTCTGGTGAGCGAGGTGTTAAATTCTTCACTCTTATTGCACACATAAGCAGAAGTTCTATACATAATTTCTCTGTGCAGGTACTGAAAAAGATGCCTTTATTCCTTACAAATTCACACTTACATCATTTGTGCTAAAGTACCCCAGGGGAGCCCCAAACAGCCAAACATTCTGTTCAAGTTATTTACTTTCATATTGTGAATTATAAACCTTGTCACGGTGCATTCCAGGTCTCTGAAATGATCTAGATTACAAATAATTCTTTTTGCCTGACTCCATTATATCAGTAATAACCTACTCTTACCCACTAACAGACAAAAAGCACCCTTCCTATACTCCAACCTTCCTGAATTGCTACTAATTGGTAATCAGTGACAAGTAGTTCTATGCATAGATTCTCTCTGACCTAGTGATCAGCCAAACAGCCTTCTCTTTTCAACACATACAAGTAAACAAATCCAGTGAAATTCTGTTTTAAAAGAAGATTTTTCATTATAGAAATAGTATGAGATGCAAAACGCTGATCTGACAAGGCTTCTAATTCTTTTCCCATGAGAAAGATAACAATGATTAGGCAGCCTATGAATCTGTTTATGGGTTCTCAGGTCTTTAATTCTTTCCCTTACTATTCTGTACTGTATACAAATATAGGCAATGCCTAAGACCTTGTGTATGCCAGCCATCTTGCTCTGTACTTTGTGTATGTTATGTCATTACTCCTTACAGCAACTGTGTGAATTTTACTATTCCCATTTTACTTACAAGAAAATTAAAGTGCAGAGAGGTGTTAGGCCCAAGGTTTCACAACTGGTTACTTTCAACCCAGGACTGACTTCGAAATCATGCGATTTCCACTGGGGCACTACTTTGAAAAAAGCCTGTCTTGGGCCAGGTGCTAGTGGCTTATGTCTGTAATTCTAGCTAATCAGTAGGCTGAGATCTGAGTATTGTGGTTTGAAGCCAGCCCAGGCAGAAAAATCTGTGAGACAATTAACCACCAAAAAATTTTTGGAGTGGACCTGTAGCTCAAGTGGTAGATGGTAGCCTTCAGAAGAAAAAGCTATGGAGCAATGACCAAGCCCCGAGTTCAAGTCCCAGTACTAATACACACACACACACACACACACACACACACACACACACACGTTGGACTATTTACTCTATATTTTCATATAATCAAAGGTCATAGGAGGGATAATGTCTATTTTCTTATCTAAAAATCTTGATGAATGTTTGATATGTAGGTAAGAAAACAGTTTGTATGCTAGTGATATCTAGAATAAAATCATTTGTGGTGCTCACCTCTCTCACTTCTTTTTTAGCATTTTGCTAAGGCTATTCCATGAACTACTAGTATTTTGACCTGCTAACAGATATTAAAGGAAAAAAGTTATCTAGAGAAAAAAATTTAAAGGAAACACTTTACAAACAAAATTAGAGCATTGTCCTTTGTGTAGGAATTGTCAGGGCTTTCCATGTGTTACTGGGTTTTATGACTCATCAATAGGAGGTTGTAATAGCCCTTTGACCTGATCTGACATTAGATTCTTTAAACAGATCATAAGGCTTTGCCCTTTACTACAGTACTTGTTCTAATAGTTTTTAATATGCTAGGAAATATTATGAACCCTCCAAAGCAGAAGAAGTTTATATGACCATGAGCCCCCCTTTTTTAAACAACTTAAATGAAGATTGAAGCATGAAATACATTTTATATGCTCTCTGTATAAGCAAAATTGCCTTTATGTAATGCTTTTTCCAGAACACATTGTCCAAATAAATTAGCTGATTAGTTTTGTGGGAACAATAAAGTTATGGTTGGGAACACAAGAGGGAAGAATAGGAAAAATATTTTAAGACATATCAAGACAAAGACTTTTGAATGTCTATCACTACAGTGATAAGTTTAAAATCTCCAAAGTGAAAACAACTTGAATATATATCAATAGAAAAAGAGTTGGATACATTATGCATGTCCAAACTATTTGATACTTTATACATATTTTCCTTTGAAAGTGTTCTTAATTTAAAAAAAGATGGAGAATAAAATGAATATCCATATGAGTTTTTTTCTTACATTATTGTTGCTTTAAGACCCATAGTTTTGAAATACTTGAGTGTTTATAACTTAGAATTAGTAAATGCTAACTTTTTTTCATTTTGACTCAAATTTTTGTATATAAAAAGAAATTATTTCCATAATTTTTACACAAAAATGCCGGATCTAGATGATGTTTTCTTCAAAATGAAAAAGCAATGCTGTAAAATTAAAAAAAACATTTACAAGATATACAGCATGCAAAATTTAACATCCTTAATTTAGGAAGCCCTTGCAAATCAGTAAGCCAAAGAAAAACACAGCAGCTAGAAAATGGGCAAAAGATGTGGAGACACAAAGGATAAAATTAACTTAAAATGAAGAGTAAATATGAAATTGTTCAACTTCACTGAAAAGAAATACAAATTAAAATAATGTAAAATAGCAATTTTGTTTATTAAATCAGCCAATTTTTACAAATTACAGTATTTAGTGTTGGCAAAGGCATATTGAAATAAATATTCTTATGCATTGCTGATAAAAGTTTAAATCTATACATCATTTTTAGAGCAATGTGGTGACATTATAAAAGCCTTAAAATGTTCTTACAATTTTACCTGATAACTAATTCCACTTTAAGAATGTATCCTAATGAAACATCAGAGCTATATAACTATAGCTATAGAACTTCTATTATAGAACTATTCTATCAGTTTTTAGAATATCACAAAATCTAAACCAACTAAATATCTAGCAATGAGAGTTTGTGATTGAATTGTGATTAAATATTTCATAACCATGATAATTATATGGAAGAATAATTGGTAGTAATAATTAATTGGGTTATGTGAAAAGATCATATGAATGCAATTTGATTTGATTATTTCTGGTGCCAGAGATTGAACCCAGAGTCCCTTACATTCTGTCCCCTGAGCTATATTCTGCTCAATAACCAATCTACCCAGCCCTTAATTTGAAAGTACATTTATTGAAATACAATTCACACATTCTATCATTTGGTCACAATGTGGGTTTTTATTTTAGTATATTCACAGGTCTGCATAGCCGTAGCTAAAATCAATTATAGAACATTTTTATCTTCCACAAAAGAATTTCTCCATATATATTTATGTAAGTATATATGCAATATATAGATATTGTGTATATACATATATACATACATACACACACACACACACACACACACACACACACACACACATATAAAATCTCCAGTCACTGCTCATTACTCACATTCCAATGCTTAGGCAATCACTAATCACTTTTTTGGGTTGCATTTTGTGTTTCTTGTTTTCTTTTCTTTTGGTGTTGTTTCTTTGAAACAAAGTCTCACTATGTAGCCTAGGCTGGCCTCAAACTTGTAATCCTCTAGCCTCAGCCTCCCAAGTGCTAGCATGCCCAACTCATTAATCTACTTTCAATCACTATGCATTTACCTACTCTTGACATTTTATGTAAATTGAATCATACATTCTGTGGTCTTTGGAGAGAAATATCTAAGTCAAATATCTGATGAAAGATATATATATATAAACAACTAAACTTGAATATATAAACAACTAAAGGGTTTTTAAGAACATGTCATCAAAGAAGCTATGCAAATGATAAATAAGCACAAAAATGATGCACAGAATCACTGGCTATTATGAAAATGTAAATTAAAACGATAAAGAGAATCCATTACACCCATACAAATATGGGTAAAAAATTTAAAACCTGTGACAGTACCAAGTAGTAACAAGGATGTGGAACAATTGGGACATTTCAATTGGAAATGCAAAATAGTAGAGATGGAAAAATCAGACAAAAAAGAAAATCAGTTTGGCAATTTCTTACAAAGTTAAACATCATGGATATTGCATGGCTTTCTTAGGGAGACATAAAGAATAGTGTGTCCCTAGACTGGAATAGTACCAGTAGCCCAAAGAATAACATACACGGTCAGCTTGGGGAGGAAAACCAGTTTAGTAGGAGTTTCTTTCAGAGCAGTGGAATACAAAGGAATGCATATAGCCAAAGACACCCAAGTTGTCACAGCCCCACCCTTTAGGGTCCTATTTTGTATGTCTCTAAGTCTTTATTTCAGTTTAGAATACCACTTAGTGTCGAAACAGCAGAAGTGCCAGGTGCCTGTGGCTCATGCCTGTGATCCTAGGAGGCTGAGATTTGAGGATCATGGTTCGAAGAGAGTCAGGACAGAAAACTCTATGAGACTCTTATCTCCAATTAACCACCAAAAAAAACCCCCCAGAAATGGAGCTTTGGCTCAAGTGGTAGAGTGCCAGCTTTGAGTACAAAAGCTCAGGGACAGCGCCCAGGCCCCTCAGGACTAACTGGAACTAAATAAATAAACACATAAATACATAAATCCTCCAAACAAAAAACAGCACTATATATATATAAAATGCACATATATGTATTATATATATTATACATATATATCAGCAGAAATAACTACAAGCTCAAGTACCAGAAGGCAACTCTTAGAAAATTCTATGTTTATGCTTACTCTATCGTGCCCTTCTCAGTGATTCTGCTGGTCCTGGCAAACACGATCTGACTTTGGGAAGAATGGCTTGCTTTGCTTGGTCTAGCACATACAATAGTTAAATGGTGACTTCTTACAAAAAGGAATTAACTCTAGCTGGGATTTGGAGGACTTAGTCTCACTATACTCACTATAAACAAACTGTACTGCTAGGCAACAAGAAAGAATGAACTATCAATACTTGAAACAACATAGATGAATATCAGACACATTATGCCAAGTAAAAAGTATGGGCTGCATAGTGTATGATTCCGTTTGTATGACATTTTGGAAAAGTCAAAACTCGAGAGAGAAGAAGCCTCAGCAGTTGCCAGGGTACTGAATGAGGGAAAACTCTGCATTTTCTCTGTGATGACAGTTACAAGATTCTATGCAACTGTGAAAACTCACACAACTGTGCACCAAATCAAATTTAATTTTGACTGCAGTGACTGTAATTAAAAAATTAGCCCAGTGTGGATGGCTCACATTTATAATCCTGGCTACTCAGAAGGGTGAGACCTGAGGATCACAGTTCCAAACCAGCTCAGGAAGAAAACTCTGAGTCTTTTTTTTTTTTTTT